GACCATGGTTTGAGTCCCGGGCCTGGCGACCTGCTTTCTCACTCTCTCTCTCTGTCCCTCTGGTCAAATTTAAATATATACAAAAATACATAAATAAAGGTAAATGAAATCACTTTTAAAAAAAGAAAGAAGAGTGCCTGCCCAGAACCCTGAGAGGAGACTGAAGAAAGTGCAGCATGGGAACCAGCAGTTAGCGTAATGGCTATGTCGCTCGACTCCCACGTAGTCGACCGCGGTTCGTGTCCTGGACCCAGTGGCTTAAAATTCACGCTGGGCGCGTGTGCGTGCGTGCCCAAGATCCCGAGAGGAGAATGGAGGAGAAGGGATTGCGGCGTGACCATCCCCCCTGGGGGTGATTTCTCGCTGTCTCTCTGGCGAGTGCATCACTCTATAGCGAAAAAACCTCTCCAAAAAAAAAAAAAAAAAGAAAGAAATCGCAGCATGACTCAGCTCTTGGGGGGTCCCTTCTCCCTCTCTCTCCATCTCTATCTCTGGCAAGCACATTTAACAAAAAAAAATGTTTTTCTTGAGAGGTTTTTGCTATAGGTCGCGTGCGCTCGCCAGACAGAGAGAGACATAGAGACAGAAAGCGAGAAATCACCCTCCAGGGGGGATGGTCACGCCGCAATCCCTTCTCCTCCATTCTCCTCTCGGGATCTTGGGCACGCACGCACATGTGCCCGGTGTGAGTTTAAGCCACCGGGTCCGGGATGCAAACCATGGTCGACTACGTGGGAGTCCAGCGACATAGCCATTATGCTAACTGCTGGTCCCAACAAAAAAATTTTTTTAAGAAACAAAAAAATCAATGAAAAGCAAAAGAAGAAAACTTTCAAGTGCCTCACTGGAATCATTATAAACTCACTCCTAGGGAGGCCCCAGGATGAGAACCTAGGTCCTTTCCCACGTGGTCCAGTCACATGACCAGGGCACCACTGCCTGATCGCCAAGATCATTGTTTTCTTCTCTTTGTATTTTTTTAGTTTTTGCTATCAGACATGTGAGAGAGACAGAGAGAGGGAAAGTGAGAAATCACCCCCCGGGGGGATGGCCACGCCGCAATCCCTTCTCCTCCATTCTCCCCTTGGGATCGTGGGCACGCATGCACATGCGCCCGGCCTGAGTTTCAAGCTGCCGAGTCTGGGACTTGAACTGTGCACTCGGCTGTGGGAATTCAGCCGCCTTCATCACACCACCAGCTGGCCCTACAGGCTCATTTTAAACAGAGAGATGAACATGTAGTGAGGGAGTGCTGTGGGGACGCTGACTTTCCGTCTGTCCTCTGTTGCTGTAAGGTGTGTGTGCTCTCTGGAGACAGAGAGGGGAAAAGTGAGAAGTTACTCCTCCCCCAGGGGGATGGCCACGCTGCAATCCCTTCTCCTCCATTTCTCCCTCCTTTGGGGATTCTGGACACCTCAACTTTGCCTGCTGCCCCCAGAGCTGGGACACAGTTCCGCTGTGTTGTTCGAAGCCCCCCAGCTCGGGGTAGCCAGCTGGCACAGCCTGGCGTCCCCACGGGGCACACGGGCGTACGCGCGGGACCGTCCCTGCGGGGGCTGTGTGGGGGCTGGCTGTGGGTCTCCAGCGGGGTGGGGTCTGACGGGTCGGGGACGCACTGGTAGCGATGGAGTGGATGGTGATGCCGGCTCCGAAAATGGAAGGGCGCACGGTCTTCTCCCCCTGCTGGACCATGATGGGGCTGACGAGCTGACCTATGGGAGAACAGGAGGACTCCTGGGGGCACGTGAGGCCTACTAGGGGACCCAGCCACCGAGGCCCCGCCCCATCCCCGCCGCCGCCAGCCCACCCTGCAGCTCCCTCTTGTTCTTATGTATTTTCATTTATTCCTACTTTATTTATTCACTTTTTTTTAAACTTTTTAAAAAATTTATTCATTCATTTATTTTAATTTGACCAGAGAGAGAGGGAGAGAAAGTGGGAGAGTTATTTATTTATTCACTTTTAAAGGAGTATTTATTTAATTCCATTTCTTCTCAATTTTTAAATTTAACCAGACAAAGAGAGAGAGAAAAGGAAAAGGAAAAAGCAAGTCACCAGATCCGGGACTCGAACTATGCTCAGTCATGTGGGGATCTAGCACCTTTAACCACCACGCCACCTGCTAGCCCCTAGATTTTTAAATTTACTATATGGGACCAGAAGATGGCATAATGGCTACGTCGCTGGACTCCCATGTGGTAGACCACAGCTTGAGTCCCAGACCCAGTGGCTTAAATTCACACCGGGCACATGTGCGTGCATGCCAAGATCCTGAGGGGAGAATGGAGGAGAAGGGATTGCGGCGCAGTCATCCCTGGGCGCTGGTTTCTTGCATTCTGTCTCTGTCTCTCTGTGTCCCTTTGGTGAGCGCACGTGCCCTATAGCAAAAATCTCTGAAAAATAAATAAGTACATACATTTTCTACAGGGCCGGTGCACTCACCAGACAGAAACACAGAGACTGAGAGATCACCCCCCAGTGGGGATGGCCACTCTGCAATCCCGTCTTCATTCATCCTCTCAGGAGTTTGGGGATGCATGCACACATGCCTGGTGTGTTTTTTCAAGCCACCAGGTCCAGGACTCAAAATGCAATGTTGGCCATGCGGCACCCAGCTTCCTTAACCATCATGCTGCCCGACCAGCCTAGAAAGTAATCAGGTTTTCTTTTATAGATCTATCTATTTATTTATTTTTGAGAGGTTTTTGCTATAGGACACGTGCACTCACCAAAAAGACAGAGACAGAGAGACAGAAAGTGAGAAGTCACCCCCCAGGGGAGGTGGCCACGCCGCAATCCCTTCTCCTCCATTCTCCTCTCGGGATCTTGGGCATGCATGCACAGGCGCCTCCTCCTTTTTCTTTTCTTTTTTACACAATTGTACAGGTTTTTGCCATAGGATGCGTGCGCACTTGCCAGAGAGAGGCAGGGAGAGGGGAAGTGAGAAACCACACCCAGGGGGATGGCCACTGGCAATCTCTCCTCCTCCTGGGCATACACTGCCGCCGTGCCCAGCGCGATTCTCAAACCACCAGGGCTGGGATGCGAACCCCGGTTGGCCATGCGGGATCCAGTGCCTGACCACCGCGCCGCTCACTAGCCCCCCTACCTTCTTTACTCTGACTAAGAGCATCCCGAGTTGTGCAAAGGACTGGAAGAAGAATATTCCACCCAAAGTGCCGGCGAACACCGCCTACGAGACAGAGAACGTGGCAGACAATTAACAGGGCGGACCGCGGCTAGCTGGGAAGGGAACTCTGCACTCTCTAACGTGCTAAAACGAGCCTCTTCCTTTTTTTTTTTTTAATAATTTTTTTTTTGGAGGGGTTTTTGTGATAGGGCGG